GTGGCATGGTGGTTAATTTCTTGAGCTCCACTTTGGCAGCCTGGGGTTCACAGGTTCAGATCCTGGTCGCGGACCTAGTACCGCTCATCAAGCCATGCTGTGGCAGCATCCCACATAAAACAGAGGAAGATTGGGCATGGATGTTAGCTCATGGATAATCTTCGTCAAGCAAAAAGTGGAAGATTGGCAACAGATGTTGTTAGCTCAGCACTAATCTTCATACACACACAAAAAAACCAACTAAAAACCAACAAAACACCGCCAATGCAGTGATGAAGCACTCACTATTCTTGATGACCTGAGAGAGATTTCTCCTGTGGGATATTGTGAGTTAGCTGGTGACAATATCCTTGACTTCCCTGAACCTTGGTTTCCTTGTCTGCGCAATGGGGATTATAGTAGTATTGGATTCGTGCGGTTGTGAGAATTGCATGAGGTAGCAGATGTGAGAGACCTAGCCGGAACCTGGCATATTTGTAAATGTTCCATAAATGGTTGCTATCATCTGTATGTGCAGTAAACACAGCAACATGTTTCCTAAAGGAGCTACTAGATCTCTCTTGCATATGGAGGCATATGTTGTTAACCACCCAGTTGTTCATAGATTTTTAGTTTGGCTGGTGTAAAACCCTTTTCTGGTTTGATGGATTTTAATTCTACAAAGTCCTAAATCATCCTTGGTAGCAAAGCGGGTATCTTTGAAAGCCTCTGTAACTTGAATGACTACAGAGTTCCTAAGCGTGAGAGTTCTCTGTTGGCCTGAAAACATGACAGCAACTCTCAGTGCTGTTAGTTTGGAAATATCTTAGGAATTGGGAGAATTGCACATGATAGCTTCTTGGTACTTCTGCTTTCAACTGAGGTGGAGCAGGTAAGGATGGGAAGAAACAGGGATGACCTAGTGATAATTTCTGACATTCAGAGATAACCAGGAAAAGCATATTTTCTTCCCAGCAGTACTGGCTGTGGGATGGGTTGTGAAATATTCCCAAGACGTTTAGAGTTTGTTGAGAACTTGCACCGTCTGTCAAAGAAAGGCATACAGGGTATGTATTTGAACACATGATACTGAGGTCACTGCCGGATCAAGGACTGAATGCCCTTTGACTCAAACCGACGTGAGTACTGTCAAATGTAGATTCTACTAGTTGTACTTTACAAGATTTTGAGTTGCAAGAATGTAATTTTTTTTAAAAACATTTTTTTTGAAGATTGGCCCTGAGCTAACGTCTGTTGCCAGTCTTTTTTTTTTCTTCTCTCCCCAAAGCCCCCCTGTACATAGTTGTGTATTGTAGTCATAGGTCCTTTCTAGTTCTTCTGTGTGGGACACCACCTCAGCGTGGCTTGATGAGCTGTGCTAGGTCCACACCCAGGATCCGAACTGGTGAAACCCTGGGCCACCAAAGTGGAGCACGTGAACTTAACCACTCATCCATGGGGCCAGCCCCTAGTTATGTTTTAAACAATCACCTGTTCCTTAAGAATTATTGCTATTTTTAAAAAATTTTTGCTCTTTCTTTTTGCATTATCTTTGGAAGCGGTTTTTACTGACATTTCCTGCAGAGAAGTTTTCTTTTGAGCTTAGAATTCCCTTCTAAGTCAGGCAGGTAACTGTTCCTGATTCTTCGAGCATTTTACTATTTTGTAGACTCTTGCTGGATTGGAAAGCTTGTCTATCAAGTTTCTCATTTTCATTTTACATGTAAGATAATACTACACCCTCAACCTTTGTGGTTTTCCTAAGAGCTTGCTGTCATTTTGGGAGTTGTAATTTTAAAAATAGCCATCAGTCTTCATGACATATCCCTGAGACAGGTAAGGATATTATAATGAAAATAAATATTGAGATCCACCCATGATATTCTTATTGACAATAGCATATTTTCATCAGTAATGCTGCTTCTATCAATCCTGAAGGCAGGTGTTCTGTAGGGGTGGTAAGAATGGTTCTATTCCAGCTCATTTTACTTTAGCTATTTTTGTTACTTAGCACACACAGCTTATGAAATATTTGGTCATCACCTTGAGAAGCATGCCTTACCCCCACTCACCAAAGCGAGGCTGTCCTACTCTCTTCTCATGGGCAAAGAAGCTGAAGTAGAAAGAGGTTGAGAAGTAATTGATGGAACACAAGCACTGTCCCCGAGCTCCTAAAGGTTTGTTTCACCTCGGGACCGTGTTCCTTTTCCTCTGTCTGAACACACAGAAAAGGAAAATTTAGTTACCAGTAATGTGTGAGAGGAGAAGGAGGATGCTTTGCCTTGTGAATTGCTCAGCTCCGTGCCATGATTTCCTTTGGCGGTTCTTGGAAGGCAATAGCTTCCTCACTCAAGCGATGTTCTATTTTACTGTGCTGTAAGAATCCCCATGAAAAGTTCATAGTCAAGTGGGTACCAGAGAATTGTAGCTTGCCAGAGACTGTCACAGAGAGTACTTAAAAAATGTCTAAGAGTGGTTGTACAGGATGGCAGTGGGAACAGAGAGTGACTGCAAAGGGGCATGAGGGATCTTTTTGGAGGGGTGGAAATCTGAAACTGGGTTATGGTGATGGTAGCACAACTCTATAAATATGCTAAAAATCGTAGCATTGTGCCTTTAAACAAGTGAATTTTATGGCACATGAATTGTATCTCGATAAAGCTGATAAAAAATGCCTGAAATTTGGGAAGTCTTGAAAGGAACCACGTTTCCACTTGGTATCTGGGCTCCATAGCGCGGCATCGTATCTGGAAGCTTCCTGACTTGTTGGAAAGTGTGTGACAGAGTGAGCGAGGGGAAAGCATCTGAGGTGGAGCTGGAGGAGGTGGGGATTATCCGAATCTTATTCATAAGGCAAGGAGGAGGCCTGTGGTCACGATGTGAATAAAAAGGCACCGTTTTTGTAGTGATGACAACTCCAATTAGTTCTCAAAGGGAAAGGTACATTCCTCTCCGTGGGCTTTGAAAGCTCACTCTCTGAATTGCCCTCTTTCGTCAGGTTGACAACAACACTCTGTAGCCAGAAATCTTACCTTAAAATCCTATCAGCTCATATAAACCACCTTTTAAATGACTTATCAAATGCACTGCACAGATTTGGGTAAATATATTAAAAATCTTTCTGTACACGTTTAAAATTAACATAGTTTAACTGCCGTTTTTTTTTTTAGTTGCCATTATTTAATAAGATAGAAAATACTTAATGTGACAGGTTGTAAAAAAACTTTCCAACCTCTTAATTTTTTTTGTGATGTTTTCCTAATTCCTGAACAAAGGCAACCAAGCTTTCAGAGTTTGATTTACTGAAGAAATTGATTGGCTTTGCTTACATATATTGTGTGACTTGAGATAAAGCTGCAGGACGCCCTCAATAACTGGAGTGCAGGAAACAATTGACACTGTTTCTTAATTCACATTGTTTCTGAGACATTTCCTACTTCCTAGTATAATATAGCTTTCCCATGAGAACAGTTTGCTTGCAAATGGTTAGACATGATAAATTTCTCACTGGCGCACATTCGGCGAGGAGAATTTCACTGTGCTTTGAGTAGTTGAGTTGGGGGGGTGTGTGTGTGTGTGCACGTGCATTTGTGTGTGTGTGTGTTTGTGTGTGTTGGGGAGGAGGTTCATGCTTTATATAAATGCCTCCAACTTCATTCCAAGTATCAGATATTTTCTTTTGAATGCTAACCCGTTCACTTAGGGTTCTGCATTCCTGGGTTGGAACCTCTTCCTTGAAGGAGCATATGATTGTTTTAATCCTTCCCATTCAAGGGAACACCCTCGTGAATTATGGTGTTTTTAGATATGCCTCCTGAGTTACTGTGGAAAGTAACTCACAGCAGTTTATATCAGACATCCTGCAGGTATGTGAGTTACATGTGGGTATCTGGTATGGTCTGTGGCACTGGAAAGTGGTCATCAAGGAGTCATTCCAGAATGGGAAAGGAAACCTGTAGATGAGATAATCTAAGTTGTAGTTAAAAAAAAGAAGTTTTCACATTGCTTCTGAAATGGAGGTTCCCACATCCAGAAGTTATGGTGTATACAAAGTGAAAGTAAAAGTTTCCCAATTAAAAAAAAAAGATGTAGAACTTTGAGTTCCTTTTTTTTTCTGTCTTATCAGATATTGTAAAAATAATACCACTTGTCAGTTCTGCAGCTCCTTCCATCTAGAGAACTAAAAGCATTTCGCAATCTTTTTTTCCTCATGCCCTTCTCTTCAAAGCAATTTTTGCTGGGCTGGGTTTATTTTTATCATCGCAACAACCAGTTTTTAGAAACTTTTGGAAACGAAAAAAGAAAAATGAGAATGACACTGTAGCTGACATTCATTTTAGCTGTTTCCTAGTGTGAACATTTGAGTATTTCTAAAATTTTCTCTTCAAGTATGTCTTATTTTTTCTTAGTTTGTCCCAGTTCTAAATCTCTATTCTGCTGATTGGGTGAAAAAAAAAAAAGTTCTAATGTAGAATCTTATCTCCAGCAGAATGACTTCTTGAACTTTGAGTTAGATCTTTATTTTTTGCTGCTTCCAAGAGCTCTTTTTTCGTCACTCTATTCAGTATAATCATAGACCCATGGAAAGTTAGCCCTGGAAGGACCTCTAGGGATTACCCAATTTAAGCCTCTCATTATGTAAATGCTGAGTTCGAGGCCCAGAATGGTTAAGGGACGTGCTCAAGGTCAAATAGCTAATTGATGGCAGAGGTATGATGAGAATCCAGGATTCCTAATTTCCGATTCAATATTCTTTGGTTTTCCTAAACATAAGTAGTCTACCTGGATGAAACTAGAGTGCGTCCTCTGGAATCCTCGTGCCAACCAACAGGTTGAATTATACTCTAGATAACTGAAAATTGGGAGGAGATTTTATTTTTCCAGTTTGATTTTATTTGTCAAATATTGAATGGTAGTGTTGAACTCACAGACATTTTCTTCTGACCTGTGGATCTTGTGCAGTTTATGTGCAGCAGAGAATGTGACTTGAAATGACTGGTGATTTGTGTACCTTCCTGCAGGCCACCACACCATCTACATCGGGGTTCATGTGCCGAAGAGCTACAGGAGAAGGCGACGTCACAAGAGAAAGACAGGGCACAAAGAAAAGAAGGAAAAGGAGAGAATCTCTGAGAACTACTCTGACAAGTCAGATGTGGAAAACGCTGATGAGTCCAGCAGCAGCATCCTCAAACCCCTCAGTGAGTACTCTCTGGGTATTGGTGCCTCTTTCTGCTTCTCTCCCACATCCTTGGGAAAGAGACTTTTTTAGGATCTTGTGGCTACTGGGAGAGGGACACAACAATACTGGGATGGTCTCCTCTAAAGGATAATGTCTATGGAGATGGTTTTCTTGTCCTGGCAGGTTTGTCTATGAGGAGATCTGGTAAGATTCTGAGTTAATCAGAAAAGATCTGTTGAAGTTTAGGCATGGTCGTGACTAGTGAAATAGGACAGCGTGTTATAAATGATATTTAACGCCAGTAATCCACAGTAACTGGAAGACTCAAAGAAATGTTTGGATTGTTTCTGCTTAGAAATAAGTTCTATTGAGACAGTAGGTCAAGTTGAGAATTATGTATATATATAAAATTGTATATAAATAGGAGAGATTTATAGGGTTATGGGTAACATTTAATCAGGTCATGGGTCAGGTCAGTGATTTGAAAAGGAATAGTAAAAAAGCATCCTGTACGTCAGAGAAGAACGTAAAGTAACACAGCTCTTGAGATGCTGAACATATTAGATATCATACGTTGGACGGAAGTGTTATTAAGAACAGAGTAGCAGGAGGTCACAGAACATCCTTAGATTCAAGTTATAGGGTGGAGTGTGTGCGTAGATGTATGTGTATGTTGCTTTTGTTTCTTTTGATGTGGAGAATCTTTGGCTGTCTGGGTAGCTTTGTGGCTGAAGTGAGAGTGAATATGTGCAGTGAAAGGGAGAAGCAGGAGAAATACAAGCCAGTGATGGGAGATTCCCCAACAGGAGTTACATAGTGACAGCTTTTCATGTTGGCAGAGCTTTGTAAGTTCTTCATCTCTTTGCTACAGTTGCAGAAGTATGGAACGTGCAATAAAATGCGTTATGGGTGGCACAGTAAAGATCCAGTTCACTCACTGCAAATGATGAGAAGCCAAATTAGAATTAACAGCTCAGGAGTGAATTTACAGAGTTAAATTAAAGAGAGTGTGAAGTGTAGTGATGTAAATCTGTGAATCTTTTATAGTCTCACTATTAGAACTGAGCAGGTGGCTTAGAAGCTAGAGATGTGCCGTGCTGAGAGGAGCATACAGATGGACCACCAAATTAAAGATAAAAGGTTTGAGGAGAGTTTGGAGATGGACCACTAAGTTAAAATTTAAAGCTGTTGGAATCAATGTAAGACAGAAAGGACAAGAGGGCAGGAGATGAAAGTTGTGTATCTTTTCATTGGAATGTTGTGGGAAAGCCTTTCTGAACAGAATCCTTCATATATTGACTAAAATAAAGGGGTCTTTTTCTAGCAAAGTCCTTGAAATGCAGATAAAAAGGTCACAGTTAATTGTCTGGAGGAACAAAAGATAACTTCCCTTTCCAAGTAAATTTCTGCTGTTTATCTTGATTTGCTATCTGTTTTGGCAAGGCCTGAACCAGAATCAGAGGTGCTCCCTGCGGGGGTGTGTGTGTGTGTGTGTGTGTGTGTGTGTGTGATCTCTCTCTCATAAGTTGTCTCTCATTCTGCAATTCAAGAACAAGAGTGCATCATCACTATAAATACTAAAAAGGGAAGAGACTCTCACCTAGACAAATGCGCCAAGGGATTTTGAGATGATAATTATGTACCAGCTTTTTAGGAAGGGCAATGGAAACAATGCCAGTAGTACTCAAGTAGGTAATAGGGAATGAACAGATCAGAAAGGTGCGGAGGCTGAATGTGTGTCAATTCTGGGAGTCCTGTTGCTTTCTGTGCCATTTGGGGACTAGTTTGGCCAAGCATGTAAAATAAACAAGGCCATCCATTCTCTTTACCCTCAGAGATCTCCTCCTGCATTATGTTGTATATTCAGTTTCTGAATAGTATGGAGAGACCATCTTTAAGGACTAAATTGCTCAATGATCATAGCAAAATTATTTATAAATGCGCATTTTGTAGTTATTTATTTTCCTGCTGGTCAATAAGTTAGGCTGTAATATGCCTTTGACATATTTGACATGAGTCATCCAATTCAACATGAGAGTCCTCTTAGAAATTATGGTATTTTCTCTACCGCTTATCATGGGGACTAGATGGATCGGTAACTGGCTTATCTGGTACAATTCTATTTATTTATTTATTTGTTTAATTTTTAAATTTTTCCTTCTGCTCCCCAAAGCCCCCTGGTACATACTTGTATATTTTAGTTGTGGGTCCTTCTAGTTGTGGCATGTGGGACGCCACCTCAGCGTGGCCTGATGAGTGGCGCCATGTCCTCGCCTGGGATCTGAACCAGTGAAACCCTGGGCCGCCAACGTGGAGCGCACGAACTTAACCACTCAGCCATGGGGCTGCCCCAAAGGTGCAATTCTATTTAAATGTTACAATTGTTGCACCCAAATATAAAAAGACATTTAACCCCATGATTTTGGGGAAGCTACAGAGCTCTGGCACCAACATGACAATAAAATTCTTATGGGAAAACTTACTGAAATATCTGCCTAGTATGCCATTATTGTCCCCAAGAAGAGCCACACACAGTTTCTGTTATTCTTAGATCTAGAGTTTTCAAGTTACTTATGTATATAGACATACCACGTCCCATAGACCAGGTTCCTGCATGGGTCTGATGTTACATCAGGTGATGCTTATAACTTCTGAAAAAACCTCACATATAAATAGAGTAACTTGATGAGAATCATCTCTGAGTCTTTCCTGCCGTCACCCCCATATGCAATCCATCAATGACTTCTGTTGGTTCTATTTCTAAAATATGTCTGAATCTGTCTACTCCTTTTCAGTTTGCCTGCTACATTCTGGTCCAGGGAATCGTCATGTCTTGTTAGACAGTTGCAACAGCCTCTGCTTTTCAAGTCTTTTCCACACAGAGGCAAGAGTGATCATCATAAAGTGTAAACTGGGTCGTGCCATTCGTCTCCTGAAAACTTCTTGTTGTCCTTGGAATAAAATCTTGGGTGGCCGTTATGGCCCACAGTATATCACCAATCCTGCTTTGTGTCATTTGCTCCTTGCTCACTCTACTTCAGCCACACTGATTTTTCAGTTCTTGGTGCCCATTTTCTACCTCAGGGCCTTTGCACATGCAATCCTGTCTTTCTGGAATTGTCACCACATTCTTGTCTTGATTAGCTTTTCTCTCCCTTTATGTTCCAGCTTTTAAATTTTGTCTCTTCTGGGTGGCCTTTCCCTATTACTCTAACTAATGTAGATTCTCCAGTGTTATTCTTTCTCAGCTATTTGTTTCCTTCAAAATATGTATTTCAGCTTGTGATTTTGTGAGCCTATGGTTTTGTCTTGTGCTTATGCTGGATTGTAAGCTCCCTGAGAGCTAGGATCAGATTTGTCTTGTTCATTATGTTATCTCTGGCACAATGCCTGGCACATGGTATGTGCTTAATCAATGCTTATTGAAGAGTAATTGAATGGATGGATTACTATAGAGGAAGACATAAGCATTGCTTTTGTTGGTCTAAATATTTCCCATGTTCTAGATAAAGATTCAGCTAATTTTCTTGTCTTTAATCCTTGCGCATCATCTTTGTATCTCCCTGCTCTGCCTTCTTCCCTTGCCACATAAAATATGGTCCTAGCTTTTAATTATCCTGCTTTGGAAAATGCCTCATTATTTTAACTATGGCCAAAGTGGTATTTTGGTCTGGGTAGGTGACCTCCGAGTCTGCTGAGTTGCTTGTCGCCCACAGGTGATGGAAGAAATTGATCATCGTGTACACTTAAAAATGCTCATTCTTCCACGCAGAACTCAGGCAGCTCAGCTTCAGAAGCCATATTAAAGAGGCGTGGGATTGAATAGTAAAGGGCATTTGTAAGAAGGAATAAGCCAAGTATCTTCCAGTATTTGGGCCCATCAGGAAGATGACATAATTACTGGGTTCATGTAGCTTCTAACAGAGGTGCCTTTTCTTTTCTCCATGGCTCTGGTGTCAGGCCAGGGCTTCTAAAAAGTGAATGTGTGTTTTGATTCTTACATGTTTGGAGCTTTGAGGAGGAAGCTAGCTCGCTTCATTTCCCCCTCTGAGCTCAGCAGCAGCAGCTCTAAGCTCTTGCCAGTGTCGTGTCAGTGCTGGTGTCCCAGCTTGGGACACAGAGAAGGAAATGCTTGTGGGAAGTGTGGTGCCCTGAGCGATGGGGAGAGGCACTAGGGATGAAAAGTGAAATGGAAGAGCAGGCAGGAGGAGAGACAAGGGAATGAGGAGGTGGTGTGGCGGGGGCGGTGGAGAGAAAAGTTAGATTGTGCTCTTTCTTAAAAATAATCCTTTTGCCTCCTCCACCGTGTGCTTCTTTTTTTTCTGAGTTAGCAGCTGCCATCCTCTGAGGATTGCCCAGAAAGTGGGCGGGAAGGTGGTCCTGGATGACACAGGCCCTGGAAACAGCACAACTTCCCACCATAGATGGTTTCGACCTTTGAACTTCTCATTTTATTAGTGTCCTGGAAGGTTTATGGGGAACCACAGGCCACTTGGTGACTGCAGCAACTCTGAAGATGTGTAAAATGTTAGGAAGCAGAGCTCCAAACAGCACATCCTGTTCAGCATATTGGTCTGATGTGTAATATATTTCTCGACAAGCTTGAACACGTGTGAGGGCTTGGAAGTGCTAACTGCCTCGCACACATATGTCTTGCCCGTGGTGGAATCATAGCGCTAGGTATGTGCGTACAGACACTCATTCAGTCCTGTGGTATTCCTTTTTTAGCTCTTTGGATGTGTACCAGGACTGATGGATTTATGCTAGTGAGCATTGTTCTGTGAGCCTGGAACAATGGATGCCAGTTGGTGATCCAGTTATATGGAGGAAACTGAAACGGAGAAATGGGCAGCTGCCTTTGTGTGGTACTTCCGGGTAAATGAACAGAGTAGCTTTGCATAAGAGCCAAGATTATTTGGAGTTTTGTCATTTGACTTCCCCTTTTCCCAGTGCACACCCCTGTGTCCCTTCCTCCACCTGATCTCATTCTTCTTGGAGCATTTCTCCTTTTTCTTGATT